TTTCCACCACTGTTAACAAATAAGGAGAAGCTACTTTCAGTCATAACTTCTCTGATCGAGCTTCGTGAGAATGCAAATGTGACACACAGTCAGTTCTGACATTAAGAGACCTTTAACTTGCCAGCTTCCAAGTACAAAGACCGCCTGATGACCAGGTGCACTAATGTGCCTTGATCTTGAAATAAAGCAGCTTTGTCCAACAAATTCACAGCTAGCAAGTGAGTGTCCTATATCCTGCTCTGTGCTCGCTCTAGTCAGACATCTCCCTCACCTAAACCAAACAGTATTTCCAGTACTGAGTCTGCAGATAACGCAAGCCATCTGCTACAGTGCGCTACGTGTGTGAGAAAGGATAACTGGGGACACCTGATTACCCTGACCCTGAGTTCATGTGTGAAAACTGATTTAGTGAAGATGGGTCTGCGCAAGTGATAAAAAAAAAAAGGAGTACTGTTAAGTGTGGCAAAAATCAATAATGAAATTGGAAACTAATACTTTTTATGTATCCTGGTACAACTCGAGCCAACTAAATATTACTGTAGTGGAAGATCGGGGAGAGCCACTGTCATGTACTGTCTGTGTGCGTGAGAGAGAGAGAGAGAGAGAGGGCTTTACATCGTTATTGAGACTCTGGTGTATATTGATTTGCTCTCTTGCTGAATATTAGTGTGTGTGCGTGTGTGTGTAAGTCCTTTCACAAAGAAAGATGTAATGTTTATTGGTGGCTTCCCTGGAGAATTGTTGGCCACCATTGAGGTGTGTACTATGAATGTGTATGTGTCTGAGAAGATGTGAGGAGGAGGAGGAGGGTGTGGGGGTGCAAACATTTCAAGATTTGCGAGTGCGTGCCTGTGCATATGTGTGTCCACCTCTGATATGCGCTACACTCTTGTAAACACTCACCATCCCACCCTGCCCCCTCCCCCGGTGCAAGGCCAGAGCGCAGATTAGTCTTGTTGACTTGGCAAGGACACCCTGTCAGGCACAAGCAGCGGGGAACGGACCCTCAACACGCATGCACGCACACACGGGCGCCCGCGGACACCCACACCTAGACACACATTAATTTGCAGAGCACATTCAGAGCTTCAATTGCACTGAGGCTCATTAGTTTCCGAACGTATACATCCCCTTTTTTCCACAAAGCTCAGATTCTATGCGATGCGGGAACTGATGACAGCCGTGCACATCGACACATCTGCTGCTTTCGCTTCCAGCACACTTTCGCTCTCAGCTTCACAATTCTCCTCGACCACTCATTGAGTGACTCGACTAACGCCGTCATGTGCTGACACTAATGAACTGATGCCTTGGTCTGTCCATATTTTATTAGAGACCCTGAATGACCGATTTGTATCCGATTATAACGTTCTACAATGTATTTGACAGCCTGTAAGTTTATATGTGAAAAAAAAATTGCAGTGAAAAAGAAAGAAATTAGGTTTTAATTATGAGTTACTTCACTAAAAAAAAAAGAGTGCTGGCCCTCATTAACATGACACAATAATTTTGAGTAAAATGCAACTGAAATATATAAAATCAAATGTTTTTAACTCAAATTCAAACTAATCATTAAAAAACATAGTTTAGTATAAACTCAGTGTATACCAATCAAATACATTTAATTTCACCAGTTGCATTAAATTTAATGTTTTGTACCAAAATTACGTGTAAGATTTACATGTAATCAAGTTACTTCACGTCATTTTGGGCATAAATATGGTGGAGGCTTTTTGCCAAAGAGGCCAGCAGTTAATATATGCAAATGGATTATTGCTACGTGCTCATAAATGAGAATTAGACCCATAAATGCATTAGGTGTTGGCCGTGAGAAATGATAAAGTATTTTTCCTGACGCTTTACCTGCTGTAACCTTATACAGAAAGAAGGTATGCTGCTTCGAAGGTCTTAGCAAAGCTTTTCTTTAGCCATGGGAAAAATATGCGCATAGCCTCCCACATTCATACAGCTGTCTCCTGGATTCAGCATAATCTTTGACTTATGCATATTACTTCCTACTTCTGTATAATAATAATGACAATACATATGTTGTTCTTTGGGGGGGAAGTGGAAAAAAAGGAAAAGTTCACTGGCAAGACTAGGGAACTGACCTTAGTTAAATTTTAATCATGTTCTGACCTGAGGAAAGGCACACCCACACAGCTGCCTTCTCTCATATCTGACACCTGTGACAGGCGCACTTCCTTGCCTATAGGTTGTAATTTTAAATGACTGATTCAATGGGGGGAAAAAAATGTCAGACTGATGTGACAAGCAAGACCCATGCATTGTCACACTGTCATTGTGAGTTTCTATCTTGTCGTGCCATTTCATATCTGACAAAAACATCTGATGAAACAGCTACTAGGATGCTGCGTACAGGATGTTGTCTCACCACACATTATGCATTCACATTTATTTACACATAACATTTAATACAAGATGATTATCACTTGGTGGCTTATTTTCTGTAGAATCTGCACAAATAACATTCAACATGGTCGATTTTTCAGATCATTCATATTCTGGTTTGAAAACTACGACATGTTGTGGAATCCTCGGGAGGACCGAGGGACTTGGTGAAATTTCCTTCCACAATGGAGAGTATGACTCCTGGTGGATGGGGTGCAGGAGGCAGTCATAAATAAATGAACAAAACCATTTAATTTGCCACAAATACCTCGCTCTAGAAGAGACCACTGTTGCTTCACAGTAGAAAGCAGTGACTGCTCAGAATCCTGAATGGTGCTTCGTATTGCTTTCTTTTATTTCCATGTCATATGGATGTCTCAGCAGTGCTGGTTTGCCTTTGTGAGACATTGCTACAGCATAGAAATCATTCAAAAACTAACCAAAGTTATTATGAATTTAGTTTTATTTAGCATTTAACTAAAACTGTGTGTGACTCAACCAGAAACAAAAATAAAAAAAGACTAGCTGAAATGATTTTCTGAACTTGCGTCGGACCCTCTTTACTACCGAAACTAAGCATTTATGCATGAAAACATCTATGCTTTTATTTTCCAATTCTTCCCCCTGACAAATACCGTCTGTATGAAAATAATTAACAAAGACTACAACTAATGAACTAATAAACTAAAGCAAAGCCATTCTGGAAACCAAGTGAAACTAAACCGAATTGAAAACAAAAACAAGTAATGAGAAAACAGAAAACCATAAAAGCTCTGCAACCAGCCTCCGTGATGATCTGCTGTACGCCCGTTGCTCATTACAAGTCCCCATCATCTCTTAATACTGGTGGCCTGGGCAGTGTGAGAGGAAGCATAAGCTGGACTAGCTGGCCAGCTCGCTTGGTAACTCCTGTTAATCTTCTCTCAACAGTCACTCTGCCAGAGTTATGTTTACAGTTTCATTCCCTGACTGTTTTTCCTGCTGAATGAAATTTAAAAAAACCCACCAAATCTCTGGGCAGCTCTACTTCTTCTCACGCTTGAGTGAGGGAATTGCTGCTACACTGACTCACTATCCCGTCTTGAGGTACGAAGTGATATTATATGAAGGTAACTTTAGTCAAATATCTCATCATCGCAACATAAGGGATGTTGAAGATGAAGCTGCCAGGCAGGAGGAAAAGAGGAAGACCTCAGATGAGGTTCATATGGTGAAGGAGGACGTGAAGTGGGTTGGTGTGGCACAGGAGGATGCTAGGGATAGGATGAGATGGAGGTAGAGGATCTGCTTTGGTGACCCCTAAAAGGAACAGCCAAAAGAAGAAGAAGATGATCTCTCTACAAAGACATCTTCTACATAACATCATAGCTATTAATACTCCATATTCTGTTTAGTGTTATTTGCACTACCTGTTTTTGTCAAGGTGGTGCAAAGCAAGATGAAACAGATGAAGTCCAGAAATATAAAAAAAGATACCGAGCAGAAAATAGCTTATTTTCTCAGTATAAATGTAGGGAAAATATTACCTAGCAACAGCGTTCATAAAACTTGGAGAACATCTTTCCTTGGCATCTTTTATGACCTGGCTCATAAGCTCCAACATAAATCGGAGATTGACTCCACACTGCTTTTTTTTTTTTTTAGAAACATGGGCTTTATTTGAATTTACTAAATAGTTTTAGCTAAAAACGACACCAACACCCAAGAGAGAGCATGACAGTGTCTGGTGTCCCTGCCACACCTTGTCAGGTATAGACAATTAGCAATTAAATCCAGGGCAACAGAAACTCTCGCACTACCGCTGCATAAGGAGTTGAGGTTGCAGAGGGGCCGTGACGCGTGAAACCAGCAGCATAGCCAACTTATACAGTGGCAAACATTTACCACAGACACAGCATGTGTCACGCAAGCTGCACTGAATGTGACGAGAGACAGCATTGTTGTTAGCATCAGACATACTGTGCCATGGGGTAGTCCTATTCCCAAAGGACAGAGACTCCACAGAAAAGGGCTTCCTTGCCTTGATTATGGTGCCCTGCAAATATGCAATGGGCAGCTGGTTAAACAGTAAACAGTATTAATACATTTTAAAGTGAATATGCAGAAACAGCTGTGCACCTCAAATAGACTGCATACTAAATAATAACATAATACACCAACCAGCTAGTCCATTTAAAATGCACATTACAGACTTTCAGCTCAGGAACAGCATTGAATTAGAAATACACTAGGACTGCAGCATTAGATTACATTACATAATTATTTTTTCCAGCATTATGAACTTTTTGTGAACCGTTATTCTACTATAACTTTCTCTTTTTGGCGTATAGCTTCAACTCAGTTGTTTTTAACACAAATAAAGTTGAATTTCTAATGAAAATTAATCAAACAGATTTTCAAGTTTGAAAATTGTTGCAATCGACTGTATCACAAAACTTCTGATATTTGACATGGTGCTTGTGTATCTAAGGCTGAGCGAAAATGCCTCTGTCTAAGCGACACAGCACGTCTCTTTGTAGAATACCAAAAAGCATCTCCTGATCTCCTGATCTCCTGATCGTGACCTATTCCTTTTTCCTTTTAGAAGACAGAAAGCTTTTTGTGGGCATGCTCAACAAGCAACAGTCAGAAGATGATGTGCGGCGCCTTTTCGAGTCCTTCGGCAGCATCGAGGAATGCACCATCCTCAGAGGTCCCGACGGAAACAGCAAAGGTGAGTTTATAGCTGTTTATGACTTTGAGCCAGCAGACTTTTTTCACAGGCTACTGCACAGAAATGATTTGGCCTTTCAAAGTTGGTGACTTTGCAAAGTTCTTCTTAAAACACTCCGCGCTGAGTGATGTCAAAGCGGGCTATTTCACAATCATCAGAGGAGTCGTTACATAAGAATACCGGAGATTCAGTAAATTTCAACAGTAAATGCCATTTGAAAGCTTTCGCCCAAAGGGACGAGAGATACAAACCAGCAGCTCTTTACAGATGAACCCCATTAACCTCGTGAGTCAACCTACAAGGCTCTGATAAAGAAAAAAAAAATAAGTCACCCTCCTTATTAACCGTCGGGCTTCATGTCATGCCAGAAAAATGCCCCTTTTTAAATGTTGTCAGAGTGCTACACAAGTTCACCGCATGAAGTTCATCAGTGGGCTTAGCAGCTAATCAATGAAACTCGATGATAACTAAGCCTGATGATTACAGTGGGCTTGATCATTCTGATTCCTCCGTGAAGCTCCATTAACAAGGCTTCATCAGCCAGCTTACTCAGCTAAGTGAGCTTTAGCTCAATAATTACTGAGAACTTGATCACTCAAATTTATCAACGGCGCTTGTCAATAGTAAGCGACACCAAAATGCTGTAGCGTTTTGAGCGCTATCTGAGGATCCTCGAAGTCATTAATGATGCCAGATTGGCACATTTAGTCTGCTGAGCTTCGATCAACATTGATGTAGCAATCCGCAGCAAAGGAGGCTTTCTTCACTAAATATTTGTTACTGTAGAAAATTTATCCCAGGTGGGAAAAAAAGGAAGGGGGGAGGGACTGTCTGCTTGTTGCATTGTTACTATAAATGCTTTGTTGTGATACTGTATGATATACTTCTCAGGAAACTTTTTTTCCCTTTGTTCTCACGATCTCATTATCCCCTTACTCAGGTTCTCCTCTCTCTCGTTCTCTTTAAGGCTGTGCGTTTGTAAAATACTCCTCTCATGCTGAAGCTCAGGCAGCCATCGGTGCACTACACGGGAGCCAGACAATGCCTGTGAGTAACTGCGTGCGTGCATGTAGGTGTGTGAGAGAGGTGAGTCACACAGAGAGATGACTCAAATACTGCTTATATTCCTTATAAATTTAACTCAGGCTGGAGTTTATCAGTCCCAGTGAGGAAATTTGTCCTTAGGGCTATTCGATCTTTCCATCTCAGTTGAGCCATTTTTTACACTTTTTTTTTCCTGGGTTGAAAGATGAATCTATGAATTTATGTCATGAGATTTCTCAAATATTGGACCCATAGAGGAAATATTTTTCAAGTTACAGCGTCCTCTAAAGAAGAGGTGATCGCATGCACAATATTTGCTTAAATTATAGTCAGTGGATTAGGACTACTGGGAAATGTACCTATAATTTTGGTAGGCACAGTTGTTATTTTTGTTTTTTGCAGCAGTTTTTATCTGTCATCCTGCTCTGCTGTTTAAAAAGAAATAGCTGGTAAAAAACTGCTCCAACATTCACATATTTAAAAAAAAAAAAGTCCAGCCTGGGACAGATGTAGTTACATTTTTCACTAAATTTACAAAGGCAGCACATTTAAATAATTATCAATTACTTTGAACTTTGAAGAAACTGCTGATCTGCTGGGATTTTCCAGCACAATCATCTCTAGAGTTTAAAGAGAATGATCTGGAAAAAGGGAAAATATCCAGTACTGATGTCAGAGGTTAAGGGGAAATGGCCAGAGTGCTACGAGCTGAAAAGACAACAGTAACTCAAATAAGAGAGCATCTCTGAATGCAGAACATGTTGAACCGCAAAGCAGGTGGGTCTACAGCAGCAGCAGAAGACCACACCAGGTGCCACTCCTGTCAGCTAAGAATAGAAAACTGAGGCTATAAATCACACAGGCTCAATTTCTCGGCACGCTTTGGGTCCCTTAGTACAAACTGAGCATTGTTTAAATGCCAGAGCCCTCTTGAGTATTGTTACTGACCGTATCCATCCCCTGATGTCGACAGTCCTCTGGTCAGTACGCTACCTTGAACCTCCAGTGCAAGCAAAACAAACAAACTAAGGCATGTAGCCCTCGAATAAACCATTTGGATCTTATTAGCATCTGAAATCTTAAACATTCTTCATGGATGCGGTGTATTTATATGGGTAATTTGCATATGTGGTGTTTCGTACACTAGGAAGATATTTTACATTGCAGCTTACTCTGCTGCATTACATCAGCTACAATAGTACCTACAACCTGCAATGGGCTGGCAGTAAAAGTTTGAAGAGTGGCTCATTAAAGGAGTCCAACAGGCATTTCTGACTTTATCTGAAGCACCAATTACATTTTCACATTGTTCATATTTTATTCATTGTACCTGTTATATCTCTATAGCTTACAGTGCAATGAGAGTGAGCTCACATTGCCTGCCACTGATGAAAACGTTTGTTGGATTGGACAGTCAAAACTAAGAGCTATGAAAAAGAATTTGTTTACATGAGCCAAATTCAGAGTGCATAGCGATGTGTTCACTAGCACTGGTAATATTTTTTTTACAAGTTTCAGGGGAAAATAGTCAAGATCTGTCTTGATGTTTTGCTTTTTTGTTGTTTTGTGTTTGTTGCTGTATCTGACAAAAATCCCATAGAATACTCCCAAATCTACCAGATTCCACACAAAGTATCCAGCTGTTCCCACAAGCACAATGGTGGAGTATTGCTAAGCAGTTTTGTGAAACCACTCAACTTGTGAGTTGTGATTTAGGCAAAAAAGTACAATTTTGCCCTTCTGTAAAAGTGGCACTTTTTTCATAAATATTTAAATTGCTCTAATAATTGGAATATATTCATAACGGAAGCCTCGCAACAGGAAATTATGAAAAAAAAATTTAAAAATTACATGAGAATGTAAGGTTGACTTAACATGGAATGTCCCTTTTAGATATAACCCATCAGGACTTTTTGGGGGAAATGGGCACCAGTTAAAGCTCTGGGGGCCATTGCCTTGGCCGGAGATTTAAAACAGTATGTGTGTATGTGTGCTAATGCAAGCTTATGTCAGACGTCTATCGAACCACATTAACATGTACTTCCTGGCGTGTGTGTGTGTGTGTGTGTGTGTGTATGTGTGTGGGTGGATGGGTGGGTGCACAGGGGGCCTCATCCAGTCTGGTGGTAAAGTTCGCCGACACGGATAAGGAGCGCACCATACGCCGCATGCAGCAGATGGCTGGTCAGATGGGCATCTTCAACCCTATGGCCCTGCAGTTTGGAGCCTATGGAGCCTACGCTCAGGCAAGATGCCCCACAGAACTCCTTTTTTTATCCACAGTTATTTATTCAGTGAGCCGCAGAGATTAAACAGAGCGCTCGAGCTTAGCTCAAATTTAAATTTGAAAAGGCAAAAGAAGAAGCAGAAGTCATCAAGTCAAATGTTAATTTAAAAAAAAACATAATTAAAGGATAGACGTTCTATAAAGTTTAATACATGGTTTTCACCTCCTAATATGCTGTTTCCCATCTCTGTAGCAGCATTTCTGCTATAGCTCTACTTCTTATGCTTTTTTTCTGTCTTGCTTTGCTTAACTCAGACTCACAGGTCTTTACTTTTATTACTTTCTGCTTTCTCTTCTTCTTCACCACCTGAAGGTGCAGCAGCAAGCAGCACTGATGGCATCTGTAGGCCAAGGAGGCTACCTCAGTCCAATGGCAGCCTTTGCTGCTGCCCAGATGCAGCACATGGCCACCATCAATGGACTCCCCGGAGCACCGCTGACTCCCACGTCAGGTAACTGGTTTAAGGTCAATTGTTAAAGTACCTATCAGAGTTTTTTCAGAAAGTGCATCTACCACAGGGCATACTTCTATACACAAATATACATGAGCACAAGCTAGCATTAATGTTCCCGAGGGGAGCTGACAGCAGACAATCTGGTGTCACTGGAAGCCAAGAACCCAAATCTGAAACCCTAAACCTTCCATCTGTGCACATGAGACTTTTGACTTTTATGAGCACTCAGTGCTACTGAGTGCTCATAAAAGTCTTTACAGGTCATAAAGGTCATCTTAAGGTTAAGTACATACAACATAAAATAACTCAATAAAATTGAATAACCATATCCATCAAAGAAATACATCAGGTTGATTCTTTAGTCTAAACATCTTCTTCAGTGAGAGTTCAGTGGTTACTGTGGTTACAGATTTACTCAAACACTAAAACTGTCTCAGGGGGTTGGGAAGCACATCTGCAACCGCAAGGTCGCCGGTTTGATCCCTGGGTTCTCTGTCCTGGTCGTTGTGTCCTTGGGCAAGACACTTTACCCTACTGGTGATGGCCAGAGGGGCCGATGGCGCGATATGGCAGCCTCGCTTCTGTCAGTCTGCCCCAGGGCAGCTGTGGCTACACCAGTGTGTGAATGTGAGAGTGAATGAATTGTAAAGAGCTTTGGGTTCCTTGAAAAGTGCTATATAAATGCAATCCATAAATTGGCTGACTGAAGTGTTACAAGTGTTAACATGGCCCTACAACATAATATATCTGCACTGCATGAGACAACAGTCTGGAGAAAAGGATTTTTTTTGTTTATTCACTTCCATCATGGCATCTAAATCGAAGGCATTAAAATAAGATGTGGAAAATCGAATATAAGTATGAGATCCTTTTGAAAACAGCAGCACCAGCTGTTTAATAAAGTGTAATATTAATGACTAAAAATTGTTTATTCTTTTAAGACCCGACTCTAAGACTGCAGTGGAAATAAGATACAGCCGAAAGGAAGAAAATGCATGTTTCTGGATACACCCAAGGAATGTAAAAGAAGATAATTCTGGGAACACATAATTAGCAATCATTTGATATCAACACAGTATTCACTAGTCTCAGAAAATACGTCTGAGAGTCACATCTAATGGCTGTTGTGTCACTGTAAGGGCCATACTTGGACAAGAAATCAGCCCTGACATTTAGTGTCTTCACCGGCCCACTGGACCGGCCCTCCTGACATTTGCAAGAGTTACTAGGTGGCCAGTCAAAGTAAAACTTTTCCATAATGTCCTCGGGGTGGAAAAATTGCATTGTTTCTCTCTGTCTCTGTCTGTCTGCCCCATGGCTGCAGGTGGCAGTACTCCACCAGGCATCAGCGCCCCCACAGTGACCAGCATCCCATCTCCAATTAGTGTAAATGGTTTTACTGGCATGCCGCCCCCGCAGGCAAATGGACAGCCCCCCGCAGAAGCAGTTTTTACCAACGGGATACACCATTATCCTGGTAAATATGATCATCTCAGAGGCAAACGCACACACACACACACACACAAAAATTCAAATGTTAAAGTGTGATTTTTTTCAATGTAGACACACGTCCACTGTAAAGCAGCCATCAACAGGAAAAGCGTGCATGATGTTGGCTTACACACTAGAATAGCCTTTAAGCATGTTCATGGGGGGTGAGGCCAGACGAATGTAGTCCACAGAAAGCGAGCAAGTCGAGGCGATTATCGTTTGGCAAAGGCGTTCGGGCTGCCGGAGTCTAACTATGCGCTTGTGTCATGAGCCGTGGTTAGTACCTTATTGGATGTGTTTGGTTGTCTTGTCTCCCCAGTGTTGCAGGAGGTGGTTTTTAGAGAGGACTCAGAGAAAAACGGCTTGGGCGTGGCTCCGCGGAGTTGTTTTGGGGTTCAGGGTGGCTGCTTCCTCTCATCTCTCTCCGAAGGTAGCGCTCTTTCCCTCCCACCCTCATCCCTCATCCCTTGTCTTTCTGAGCTCAGGGACAGGAAGATATCATTTCAAAGCCATTTGGGACCAAACATTCTTTATTTTACATTTAAAACATTTTAAAAAAGAAGGAAAGAAAGAGGGGCAATTCAAGTTTCTGAGTGAACAGTAAAGATTTATATTGCTTCAAATATCTGAAATATTTTCTGCTCTGTAATATGCTCTGAAAAAGACTCTGACTCCGTGTTTCCAGACACTGTCATAAAGAAAAGTTCTTTGCAGTGTATACAAATACAAATCATCTTGTTAGAATAAACCTATCCCTGTGGCTGCTACATTCACAAACTTGCAATTCCCCTGGCAAAATGTATCACAGTGTTACAAAGGATGATAATAACACAGACAGCTGAATTATTTTTGAACAGGATTTCACCTGTTTGTTTTTTTTAAAGGTTCTTTGAGCCCATAACTCTTCTTCTTTTCTTCTGGCTATCTGTGGCTGTTTTTCCAGTGTTACTGTTAGTCCACAGCGTGCTCGGTGTTACTTTGGTTTTAAAGGATACTGGCGTTATCAGTGTGTACATGTTTATCAGTGTGTGTGTATATGTGTGTGTGTGTGTGTTCTCAGTGGTGTATTTATTGTGCATGCGTTGTACGCACGGGTGTGTAGCATTAAGGTGCGGCACAGTGCCGGCGGTAGTTCAGATGCAGGGAGAGTTTGCTGTAGATCTGTGAACATGTGAAGTGAAAGCAGCAGGCGTATCCACTGTTACGTGCGTTGTGCTCGTCCTGTTGTTGTACATGTGAAAAATAAATGTGTTTCTTGTGTTGTTTTTTTTAGGTTTTCTGTGATAGGCACAAGTTTAGGTACATTTTTTTTCTTTTGTTGTGGTGACAGTGGAGCCATGTGTTGTTGGTTGTTTTCTTTTTTTGTTTTGTGTGTGTGTGTGTGTGTGTTTTGGTCTCAACTGTGGTTTATCAAAGTTTTGCTTTCCTGCTTTTCTTAAAAAAAGAAGAAGAAGAAAACTTTTGAAATGCTTTGGGGGAAACTTTTAAGTATAAGGGTCTGGAAAAAGAGAAGGGAGAGGTTCAGAATTCAGTTCCTCACACACCGAAGCGAAGTGAGTTGACTCCACGCTGTTCGGCTCGCTAACCTTTCTGCTTTTTCTTCTCTCCATCGCTCTCCTCCTTCTCATCCCTGCTATATATTACTCTCTCCTTCCTCCGTGCCCTCTCCTCCATCTACATTCTCCCTCTGTCTCGTTCCCCCTACACACACACCTCCATACATCTGTGCTCCCCCACCACCACCACCTCCTCCTCCTCCTCTTTTTTCTTCTCTTCTCTGTGTCTCTGTTGAAGCAGCTCAAAGTCCCACTGCAGCTGATCCTCTCCAGCAGGCTTACACAGGAGTCCAGCAGTATGCAGGTCTGTCTGTCACTCTCACTGCTCCAATGATATGTGTGTCTGCATATGTATGCGTGTGTGTGTGTGTGTTGGGTTGTGTGTGTGTGTGTGTGTGTGTGTGTGTGTGTGTGTGTGCAGTAGGAAGGGAGGCCAGACTACGGAAAACAGGACAAGGATAAGCATACCTTTGTTCAAAATTTGAATTTTGATATTGTAACATTAAGTGTTTCAGTCTCACTCCATCAGTTTGTTCTCTGCGTCGCGTCGGGTGTGCAACACGTTAGACTCTATTGTGCGCTATCTGATCGATTGCCTGCTGTGCCCCTGCATATATCACATTGTTTATATGTATCCAAGTGTGCGCTCTAGTCATGACTGTTATCTGATCCGCGGTGTGTGTTTGTGTGTGTCAGCAGCCTACCCCGCTGCATACGGCCAGATCAGCCAAGCCTTCCCCCACCCTCCACCTATCATTCCACAGCAGCAGCGAGAAGGTAACGCTCACGCACGGCACGCTCCTGAAATACTCATACACGCTGGCGAACAATAACTCACGCTTACTTTTGTTCTTCATCTAATTTTACACACACACACATTCGAAAAATGTACAGGCGCTTGAAACGTGTACCGGGTTTTGGGGTGATTTGAAATGTTGCCCGTCAGTTTTTACGAAAAGTACAAATATTCAGCAGTGTTTTGGGGTGTTTTTGTTTACATGATACAAAACAGCTTTTTTATTATTGGTGCTTTTTGATTCAGTAATATAAAAAAACAGAGGACAGAGTGGAGAATGAGTCAAAGAAAAAGAAAAAGAAGAATATTACTGAGCATCTCAAACTCAGCTGTAAGCCTTCTCATGAACCGAATGACCACCAAGCTCAACACCCATGCCTGGGACCTTACTGCCCTCTTGTGGAAGTTAAGATAAAAATTGCAGATGATTTCACAGCTGTGGCAACCCAGAGGCCATATTTTAAGCATTTGGGAGTCATATAGTAAGGGGTACCATAAAATTATCAGTATGAAGGTTGTTAGTTTTCATGATACTTAACATTCAGCAATCACCTGACAACTTAAGGTTACCATTCAACTGTGACTGAAGCCTTGGAGAAAACTGCTCTACACTTTTTATGGGTTTTATTCGTGTGTTTCATTTTTGCAACTCTGGAACCTTAAAACTAGGCAAATATTAAGAAACACATTTAAGGAAAAAAATGTAAATGTGAAACTGGGCATAAAGATGGTCTGATGCAGAAAAATGGAACATTTTATTTTGTGTTTTTCACTCTGACACATTTTAAATTCTAGTTTAGTCAAAACAACAATCCAAACGTGCGAGATTAACTACCACATAGGACCGACACAGCTAGAAAACAAAGAAATTACGCGATCAAATGTTGAAATGTTCATCTTGATTGGTTTCTGTGAGAGCTTATGTTAAAAAAAAATGTAGGTCTTTTCTAAAATAACCAACATTATTCTATTTTTGGCAGAAAATTGAGCTTATACATCATTTATAAGAAGCTGTCAGAGGCAACTGACTTTCACTGCCTTTTAGCCCACTTTGACTAACAATGTGCTCTTCTACCCTCTTTATCTTTTACTTTACACTTTAAATAATTTCTCACTGTCATCACAGAGTTTTCTCCTCTCGTGGTCTGCCTTTCCCATTCTTACTCCCCGTCTCTTTCCTTGACCCTTTTCTCTGACCTTTGCCTTTTTATCTCTCTCTCCCTCCCCCTCTCTTCTCTCGCCTTTCTCCGTTTCTTTCCACGCAGGACCGGAAGGCTGCAACCTGTTCATCTACCACCTCCCTCAGGAGTTTGGAGATGGAGAGCTGATGCAGATGTTCCTGCCATTCGGTAATGTCATCTCCTCCAAAGTGTTTGTGGATCGGGCGACAAACCAAAGTAAATGCTTTGGTGGGTAAAAATGAACAAAACCAAACGATTATTGGTTATTTATTCCTGATTATTATTCTTTTTTTTTTTTCCTAATCACCCTTTTTTTGCACTGCAGTCAATACTCCCTTCCCACCCCCACGCCTTCCCTACCCCCAAACCTCTCGACACCTCTCCCTTTAAAAAGATGAACAAAAGAGCAGATCGTTTCTCTGCAGGTGTGCTGTTACTAATAAGAAAGAGTGGATATTTTGGATATTTTGTTTTCCTTTGCCAAGCGTTACAGACAGCTGAGATCTGAGAACTCAGCGGCCCGTTTTATCTTTCGATTACGACTGTGCTCTTCGTGACATTTTGTATAATACAAATGTGGGTTTTTCAGTCGCATGCCCCCGACTATAGCTTCCTTTCAGCTAAAAACAAAAAAAGGGATGCATGCCAAGAACGTAACTTCAGAATCCCACAGTTAGTCTGCCGTGCAAAGACAGAAAACTGCCATGTCACGTCATGCTGCTGACAGTGCAGCGTAGTCGAACGCATAATTATGTGGCAAATTATAAATGGATTGTGGAGAATGTTTTATGGAGAGTCCATCAGGTGCAACCCATTTGCAAATTAGCTTTTGCTCACTAATACGCTGCATTAATGTATTTCCTCAATTCATGTTGGCGTTTTTGTGATGCAGGTTTTAATTTGTTATTTGACGCTTTTTTTCCCCCCCACTTCACAGTGGAAGTTAAAAAGCAAAACTGAAATGTTGCACAACCATATTGATGTTTTAGTTATAAAACCCCATTATCCTGTAATCCTGTTGTTGTTGTCATACTATTACACATCTGTGTGATGTTAGTTTAATGTGCTTTTTTTTTAATAATCACACTATATTAGATTTACGCCTACAACTAGTTGTTTCATGAATGGTAACTGTTTTTTAGTTTTATTAGATTAGATTGCAGATTAAAGGATTTCATTATCGTTCCAGTTTTCATATCATACACACCTGTAAATGACTATCAGATCTTAATGAACTCATCTTCACATTTCATGTTTTTAGTGTCCCAAACCGCCTTTGCTTCTTCATATAACAATATCTCCTCCTTTCTCTTTCTCTCTCTTTTGGCCTTTCCCCCAGGGTTTGTAAGTTTCGACAACCCAGGTAGTGCCCAAGCTGCCATCCAGTCAATGAATGGCTTCCAGATCGGCATGAAAAGACTCAAGGTGCAACTGAAGAGGCCAAAGGATGCCAACCGTCCCTACTAGCCCGCGCCCCAGCCAGCCACTGCCACCCTGGCGGCCGGGGCAGCTGTCGAACACAGGGAAAGACAGGTTAGGCACCAGTGTTGACTCCTTGAGGAACATCTGTTGTCAGTTTGGTTTCACAGGTGGTTTCTTGAGCGCATGCACAGCTATTGCAAATTATACTGGCAAACACTCACCAAACAAAACCAGGTGTTGACATTGCCTGACGTTTTTTTTGTTTCCCACAATCCTCGCAGGACCATGACTACAAACCTTTTTCCAAAAATAAATAAATAAAAATAATGTAACCAATACATTTAATTAAAAATTGTATAAAGAGGGCCTATGAGATATTAAAGTTGAAATATTTTGTTTTTAAAAAATGTGCTCGTGTTGAATTTGATTCCAGCAACACACAAAAACCAGTTAGAAGCAGGGTATGTTTACCACTGCATTGCATCACCTTCTTTTAACAGCACTCTGTAAGTGTTTGGGAACCAATGAGACCAAATGTTCACCTATAGAGAGCAAAATCTTCCCCAGTCTTCCTTGTTAAAGGATTTTCTGCTCAAGAATCTGCTGTCTTTTGTTTCATAAATTTTTGAAAAAAGAACTGACAGGTCTAGACTGTATACAGGTAGTTATAGCTGCTCTTAATATGAAGCAACGCTGTTGTAATACCCGCAGAATGGGGTTTAGTGAGGATGTAAACAAGGCCTTATCTCAAAAAGACAATTGAATGGCAGCATATGTTGCTTCAAAACCTCTTTGTAACATTCACTACCACCAAGTCTCAGATGTTCAAGTTATCCATGTGATGCACAAAAGCGTTTACAAACCTATACCATCTGAGATGCTTTTACACTTCTACTATTTACCTCAGAGAATGCAGCATCCATGCAGGACAATTAGAGAATTTGATTCAGGACTATTCCTCTTCATGTTAAAAATGTTTTGTTTGTTTTTTATCTTTACATGATACTCAAAACGTTTTTGGATGATGCACTGGTTTACTTGTACAGTAGTAATGATTTCCACTACACAAAATGCTTTTAATGCAGTAGCATCAACATCAGTTTTCAGCTTTTTTCAGTATCTTGTGATCCTCTGATTCAGCCTCGTTGAGAAACTCTTCTTTTTAATCCCCAATTGTGTTCACTGTTGTGCATGAAAGCACTCACTGAGCATGCTCATGTTTTCATTGAACAGTGAAATGAGTAAATCGTTTTTCCTTCTAAAGAACAAGAGGAAATTTTGCAGCTGTTGTCTTACCCTTTATTGAAGATGACAATAATGATTTTTTTTTTTTTTTTTTTTTTATTATCATTAGTCACATGCAGATATTTCCCAAGACAAGCTGAGAGTGAAACGTGACATTTCAGGGAATTTTTTTCTGAGTTCAGCAGCGACTGCATTGTCTAAAACTCCTGCAGCTTTAACCTGCTGACAGCTGTGTTACAGTGCCTCACGTGCAGCACACACACCTAACAACACCTGTTCGCTCTCGCCAGAGCGCCGTGTGTTCTCGGGCAAACAAGTGTCGCTCACATCGCCTTCTTCGGCGGAAAACACTCTTAGCTCCGTGCATCATTCGCTGAAAACGAGAGTGCTGTGATGCACAGCGCTAACGTAAATGTCCCACAAACACAGGGGGCAAAGCAGACTAGTTAAAACATATTGAGAATATAAGATGTTAAATGTAATTATGCACCATAAGACGTGTCTATCTATACTGAAAGTAAAACCTTGTTTAGATGTCAGCTTCCAGGCTGACCAAAAAAAGAAAAAAAATAGCAGAAGCACTTACTTGAGTAGCCTCCTCTATTTGCAGAACGACTTTACAGTAAGTGACCCTGTATGTTACCCCGTAGGTAAAAGATAATTGGTAAATGGTTCAGCATGTTGCACAGGGAAGAAAGTGCTTCCAAGGGAGAGGCATTTATTACCCCTCAGGCAGGTAATTGTGCTGTTCCTCTTTGTCTCCTCCCTTCATCTGTGTGATGGAGAGTTTAGGCTGTGTCGTTCATTCACTACTGATGACTTCATTCAAGGGCAACTTATCACCCACTCACAAACTAACTGAACCATACCAGACAGTGTCTTGAGGCAAATCACTGCAGGTGGAAGAGCAATCTCATATGAATTTTTCATCAAATGTGTGCCGCCACTCCTTTTGATATGTAAAAGGATTTTTTTTTAACTGAATGTTGGAGAAAACATCTTCTGATTTCCTTTTTTTTTTTTTCCCAGAGCGTCATTACGCTCTCAACTGATTAGCGAGCTGCTTTTCGACTTGCATCACCAGCTTTACTATTGGTATTATCATCTAAAAAAAATAAAAATAGTATAAAATAGAATAATAACACACTGTTGGCACAACAGCAAGCTAGAGTACTCTTATTTAACATCTAATGACACGGTATGGTGTGTCTCGATTAGAATCCCTTCACCATTTCAAAAACAGGATTGAACAGTTTGTTTTTTAATAGAAACGAAAAATTTGTTTCATCGCGTAGAAGATAATAACGGAGCTGCAGCCAGGAAGCCAGATTAATTCACTGCAGGATGAGCACTGATTTGTTTTGAAAATTGTCTCAGCAAAATGATCTTTGTTTATCCACACCAGGACTTAGAGTCTTAGTGCTGGCTAAGACGCTTTAGAGAGGCAGGTGTCCTGTTAAGTATTCTGCACCGCTCCATCTGCATGTAAATACAGCAAGAATCAACAGTGAAGGAACACACAACACTGGTGACATCATTGCTTCCAAAGAAAAATACATTTAAAAATCAAAGCAAATATCTCCCCGTCATTTTTCTTGTTTTCCAGTGTAATGTAGGAATGTGTAATGAAAGTTCAACGGCAAGCGACCTAGCTGTCTCATTCAATTATCTAAATCAGATCCAAGCAAGTGCACAAATGAACCGCAAAGCTAGACACACCTTCAAACCGTACAGCTGCTGGTATCAAAGTGCAGTTTTCGTGGGATACTTCTAGGAAACTAAGCGATCTGCAGAAAAGCTCGAGCCAGTGGCTATTCTGTGGGAAAGTGCAAGCATCAATGCATCGAGGTGCAAAACGTGAAACCTTGTGTTGTTTCTCCACACGTTCCTTTACTCAAACAGTCCCTTTTTCTTCTGTGCTTTTCAGGTTTTGTTGAGCTGTTGATTATTTGCTACCCACCACTGAGTGCAAACTCAACATCTGGACCACTGAGGCTGCTTCAGAAAACAGAGGAGAGAGAGAGAGAGCGATGACCGAGTCAAGGACACCTCCTTTTTGGATGTACTAAAACTTTGGAACTCAGAGTGAATTTGTACCAGCCTGGTTAGCCCCAGGACTTTTTTTTCCCTCTTCTGCACACATATACACACTTCTTTCCCCACAAAACCCTGCTTGAATGACAGCTACCTTTTCTGGACCACAAAAACTTTTACTTGAACAAAGAAAGGAGGAGAAAAAAGTAAAAGAAACTACATCAAACCTCCTTACAATGACCAACCCCGCTGAACTCTTGAAAGGAATACGGATGTCAAAAGTCCAACAAGAACAAAACTTTGAAAAAAAAATAATAAAAATAACAAAAAAAAAAACCACAAAAAAAAAAAACAAACAAAAAACATAATAGCGGATTGCCGTAGGAGATCTTTCATTAAGATGGTGTGGAGCAATTGAGTTTTGAAGACCAATTTTTAAGATTTGAAACAAGAAGGGACAAATTCTCTGAGAGAGAACTTAAGTAGGAATGTGACATTTTCACGACACAGATTGGCTTCGATTTGGGATGGCCATCTTTAGCTCGGAGTGCCTGTCCGTTTCCAGGGGATACCGTTGCCGAGGAGCGCCATAGCAACAGTCTCCAGGGAGTCTTATCCATCATTCCTTAGTTGTTTTAGGGACCAAAAGACCAAACATTTTTATTGCTGAGGACTTGTAGCTCTAATATACTCGGACCACTGCATCTCTCTCAGCCAGCGTTAACTGGCTGGGGAGTTGCACTTAAAAGAAGTGTACATTACGAATATATACAACACATGTATATATACATATATATTGCTGATATGCTTTTTGAATACAGGCAAAACTATTTCAGATGACCAAATGGGGTCTCTCACTTCGCTAGTTTACAATTACTCAAAATGTTTATTTTTTTCTCTTCTCATTTTGTCTCGGGAGGGATGGCGAGTGCATGGGAGGGGCTGCTCTGTATCACAGCCTTATCTTTTTTAACTTGACATCCTAACCTCATAGATAGAATAACATCAGAAATGTTTGAAATATATGAACTTGTTTATATTTGCAGTACATATATATGTATAACAGGCATTCAAGCAAATGTATTCATATATACAGTATATATGGATAAATAGATATTAATCACAAATATATGTATTTATATGCACATATTTTATATATGTGTGTCTGTATATAGAACGGCTACTGACTATGTTGAGCTGTAATTTTTTTGTAGATTTTAGCTGGAGTTTGAAGCATTGCTCTGCTTGGGAAGAATCGCAAATCTGGCAGCTCCCAAAACTGCAGGCATTCCTTTCTCTGATTACCTATATGCTGACACACAATATATTGCTAAAAAGATTCATGTGTGATGAAACACATATGGTGTACATATTATCTGAAAATGCAAAAAGCCAATCTCAGTAGCAGGCTTTAAGAGAATCAGGCTAGATGATTTTAGAGGAAAAGGACAATTATCTTCGACTCTATTCCAAACATATCTTTTGAGCTTACACACACATACGCACACACGCACACATGCATACACACACAAACTTCTCTTTGAAACTTGAACCAAAATGAAAATGTCTCACAACCCTTGCTCTCTTTTGCATTCAGTAAAGTGCATGTAGCGTATGGGCTGTCACCATGTCAAGGTGTGCCTTGTCACCTGCAGAATCTGCCATCAAGCACTGTGCTCTCAGAAAACAAAGAAAAAAAAACTGAACACACACACACTACTGCAAGTAGCCAGCGCGCTATTATGATGTCAAAACTACAGCCTGATCCATATCATTTTTTCAGCTGCGTAGAGAGCTTCAGTGCATGTCAAATATAACAAAAATTGTCCAAGCACTGTTGGTCCATCATTGTCTTTGGGGGGTGAAAAAAAGCATTTAGGTCTAATGTAGATTCATGCGATACCACTTCAAACTTCAAACAAAAGCGGGCATTAGGTAACCTTCTAGCACAGGCACTAACTTTTCAAGTTGTGTGCAAGGCACCTGAGACTAAGTTCCACTAGTTGGAAGGTAATAAAGGGTAAAAATCAGGGCTGAAATGGGCACGATGTGGCTTGATAAGGGATGCAACTGAGCTTACTGGACCGAGCAGGAGGATTTTAACCCTCTCAAGGCAGGCGTTGCAGATTTGCAACAGTTAAAAACTAACAACCTGATTACCCCAAATACATATTTTATGAGGTTTTTTTACTCAGAAGTACCACTGCAGGTATTCTTTTGTGCATTAGTAACAAAAACTTGATTTGAGCCTGAGAGGGTTAATGGCTGTGAAGATGTAATATTGATGAATATGTCATAGAGCTGGCTTCCCTTTGAACAGAAAAAAAAAGGATTTATACTTGACATGAAGCATATCTTTTAGAAATTGTTATATTGCCTTACGTTAAGTCTTCATGCAATTTTATATATATATATGTATATATATATATATATATATGTATATATGTATATAAATAAAAATATATAAAATCCACTTAATTCTCTATTTAGTCTTTCACCATTGTTATATCATACATTATATTCATTGGAGAGCCCTTACACTACTGCAAAAATCACAGGAGCCTGACTGTTTCCATGTGTCGGGTTTTATTGCTGGTTTCCTGCCTTGCTAATGTGGATTTTATCAACAGAGCATGTGGATATTGATGTTTGAGAGAAAAGTAATAGTTTTTTGAAATTTCAGACCAAAGTCTTTATGGTGCAGTTTTAGTAAAGAGTTCTTACACATACAGAAGTCCTATATAGCTCTCTTACACACACACACACACACACACACACACTCTATATTCACACTTCAAAATAATACGTTTTTGGGATAAAATAAATCACCACAAGATCACACACACCCGCCGTCAAATGGTTGGAACGGCATCCACCAATATA